GTGGGGCCATAAAATTGCAGTATAGGTATGCGGGCTTGGGCTCCAGCTCGTGCATCTACACTGGCTGAAGGACTATAAAATTGCAATCTCAAGTTAGCTGACATGGGCCACTTATTGAAGTGTAGCCATTACCCTAAATTACAAATAGACACCTACTGACAATTTGCAAATAGATTCCATATATAGCCCTGTAAATGTCATAATAGTTATTAAACACCTGCATCCATGACTTGCCTTGACGGCTCACTCCCCCAAAAGATGGAGTGCCACTATCACTTCATCAATGCACACTCTTTTTTTAAATGGTACAAGTTCCCATCATCACACCTGCTATCTAATCTAGAATCTGTACAAGTTACTCAAACACAAAGATTACAAATTGTTCTCATAAATCTTGTTATATCTTCAAAGACTTACCTCTTTGTGTTGTTTCCCTAGTATGTGTGTTTGCCACAAAAGTTCACCCTTAATCTGGGTGTTGCACAACGTACAGCTTAAGTGCCCTAAACGATTATATGTACATTTTGAAGTTGAGGAAATATTTCAGGATCACACATAACCTTCAAAATTATAATTCTGAAATTCCAATTTGCAGACACTTTTAAAACACTATTTTCAAAGGCACGCTGAGGGAGTGAAACCCACAACGTAAGTATTCTTAAAAACATTCCATTACTATTGCATTTCAGGGTTTTATCCTGAAAGAAGTGTTTCAATTTAAAGGCAAAACACTATATTGTGCTAGGCAGGAGTGCCCAAATTGTGTTACCACTGGTGTACCAGCCATTCATTTCAAAACAATATTGTAAGATGGTACGTGAACCAATAAAGTTTAGGAGCCACTGTGTCATTGCAGGACGACTACTAGAACATGAAATGGTACAAGAGTAGATGTGTAATTTCAAAGTATTTGTGATGCATTCAAGTAGACAAGATTTATAATTTACTATTTACAGCTTTCATTCTATATCATGATCTAATAGCACAGACCACTGCACTTGTGCAGAGCTGCCCTGATTTTAATGAGATTTCAGACGGGGCAAGTGCTTGTAGATGGTGATACAGTATTAGGGTTTATGACTAAAGAAATGTGAAACTGACTGGCAGCTTCGCTGTCCCAGCTGGTGAAGGGCAAAGCATAAACAAACAAAACTGAAGGAGGTTTTCCTCCTCGGGTGTAACAATCCCTTCAGATCTTCACCCCACTGCTAAGGAAACCAGCCCCTCGCACTGCGATTGTTCGCCGGTCGCTGGTTCGGGGGGGGGGGGAAGAGAGGAAGGGGGCGGTCGGTGGCGGGGCTCCCCTGGGCCGCACGACGGTTTTTGTGTTTCGGGCATGAGGGGAGCATCGCAAACTCGGGGCTTTCAGTGGGAATCCAGAGGGGTCCCGGCTTGTTCCCGACCCAGCGCGGGGCAGCCAGAGGCCTGGGGGAGGCCGGCGGCGGGACCCTGAGTCTGGGCGGGATCTTTGTTATTTTTATTAATAACCGGGGGGAGGCAGCGCGGACCAACCCGGCACCGGCTGAGAGCGAGACACCGCGGGCCGGACACACAGTCCCCGCGCCAGGCACCAGCCCCGGCGCTATTGACGCGAGGCCGATGAAGCTCCAGGGCAGCCCGGGGAGGGCCGGGAAAGGATATTTAGCGAACGGCGCCTCGATTCGCTTCTTCCCGGCGCTTTGTCGCTGCTTCTCCCGCATGAGCCGCCGCAGCTCGTCCTGCTGCACCAGCTTCCGCTCCGAGCCCGGCCCCGCCGCCATCTTGTCCCGGAAATACCTCAGCCGCCACTTCCGTTGTAGGAGCCGCTAAGCCCCGCCCCTTCCCCCTGCCAGGTCTCGCGTTAGGCGAAGGGGGCGAGGCCAGAACCTAGAGCGGGGCGGGAGCTCTGCCGAGGGGATCGACCCCCGTTCCAGCGAGGGGGCGGGGCTGTGTATAGGCCCCGCCCCTTCATTCAGCTTAGGCCCTGTCTACAGTGGCACTTTACAGCGCTGCAACTTGATCGCTCAGGGGTGTGAAAAAACACCCCCTTGAGGGCTGCAAGTTTCTGCGCTGTAAAGTGGCAGTGTAGACCGGGCACCAGCGCTGGGAGCTACTCACCTCGTGGGGGCGGGTTTTTTACAGCACTAGGAGAGCTCTCTCCCAGTGCTGCAACACTTTAATTTTGCTAGTGAAGACATACTAGATTTAGTCACTAGATTTAGTGACTTTGTGGTTTCCCCAGTGAGAAAGTGTCAGTGACCAGTGACAAATCTAGCGACTTTCACTGCCCATTACAGTGACAGTCAGTGACGGAAGTCACCAATGTGTATAGTCACAACATCATTCACAAGTAGGGTTCAGGGTAGGGTGACCAGACAGCAAATGTGAAAAATCGGGACGGGGGTGGGAGGTAATAGGAGCCTATATAAGAAAAAGACCCAAAAATCGGGACTGTCCCTATAAAATCGGGACATCTGGTCACCCTAGTTCAGGGTTTGGGAGGGGGCTCCAGGTTGGGGCAGGGGTTGGGTGTGTGTGGTGGGGGGGTGAGGGCTCTGGGGTGCAGGAGCTGAGCAGAGCCGCCAGAGTGCCCAGTCAAAAACCGGACCCCTGGCAACCCTACCAAGCAGCTCAATAGTGTTAATAAAATCCATTCCATGCTCTTCGTACTACATTCTTTCGCACACCAAGTCAATGTCATTACATCTCAATTAAGCATGTCCTCAAAAGGAATGGCATTCCAGGTCGTCTTAGACTGAGATCACTATAATCTGCAGGTGAGGAAAAGAAGTTTGTGGAGGCTAATTCAGTACTTTGCTAAAGCCAGGCGCACTTTGAGGGGGGAGCACAGTAGCCAGGGCTTGGTTTATCCAAATGTGTTCTTTCTCGCAGCTCCATGGTAGGTAGCCCACCCTGTGATGCAGGGAAAGATGGCTAATGATGAGGGCAGGGTGGGGGAGGCCTGCACAGATGGAAGATGGGGTGGGATGGGACAGGGCCATGTGCCCCAATGGGGCGGGGGTCACCGTATCTCCAGAGATGAAGCCCTTACTACAGGATCAAAGGTGGAGCTAGCTTGATTTTGGTTCCCCTTTACTCCTTCCTCTGGCTTGGCCTGGGGTTAGCTGCCCAGGTGTTTTCAGAAATCAAACCTTGGAAGCGGGTGGGAAGGGGTCCGGCTAGTGGATTTTTCTTTTTAAATCTACTTTCTTGGCTCCCTGCAGCACTGAACTCAGGTCAGGTGACTGCCCTCTTCCCCCTGGTTCTGGGCGCTCCCTTTCACTAACCTGTGGGCTCAAATCCAGGATGGCAAGACAGGGAGGCGCAGCTGAAATTATCCAACTCCAGCCAACCTGGGCTGCAGTGTACAGAGTGCCCTTCCCAATGAGCAGAGGGCACTGGGATGCCACTTTTATAATATGTTACGTTAACCTTACCATGTCTAATGCATATTCAGTAGGGGGTTCTCCCCTCTTCCTTATTTGTATTTCCTCCCCTTACCAATGTGAAGGTGTTTTTTTTCTATAGGTTAATATATTTATGATTTCACCCCATCATATACATCAATTCGTTGCCATGGTACTCTTGTAGTTGGATGTTCCGTCCAAAACATTCCAGAAGCTGGTGTTACGGTAGTTCATGTTTCTATGGTTGGCTGATGTCATTATGGACAAAATTCCCTCCTACATTTTACTTCCAGTTCCCCAAAACTTATGGGTTACCTAAGTTTATCTCTGCCAAAGTTCATAGGCCTCAAGCTAACTGCTGAAGCCAATGTCTTACAGGATACAAGCTTGTAAGTTCCTTGCATTACTGCTGAATATAATAAAGCAGATAATGCAAAACAGAAAATATAATAGAGGTTATATAGAGGGCTACAACGTCTGAAGCTAAATGAGCACAAGATGGAGGAGCTGTTGGTAAGCAGAAGGAAGGCTCTAGGAGAACTGGCTGGGGTTGTAGCAATTTCCTTTCAAGGGTAGGTCTACATTTGTGAAGGATAGGTTAGCTAGGGTAAGCCCAGTTACCAGCAGAGGCCAAGAATGCTTCTTTCTCATTTGAACTCAGGTAGAAGAGTATGTCCTCCTCTCTCCCATGTGGACTTTACTTAAATGTATGTGCCACCTCCACATTGTAGCCACCTCTGTTGGATCATTCTGAAGCATTGTCTAGGGCAGAACATTATTAGCAGAGGTCTTCTTGGTGAAAACATTAGATCCCTGTTCCATGTTTCACCGGCTTCATTTTTGCTTCTTCAGGCAACTCAAGGTGGTGACATTTGTATTCTGTATGGATGTATATTGGATTGCCTGCTGGCCACCTCAAAGACTATCTTTCTTCCCTACAGCTGAGCTCACCAAATTCTTTTCTGTTATGAAGCGGTAGATTAAGATTTTTGGAAAAAGAAAGGGAAGGGCATTCATAGTGGTAGCTAGAAAAGTCACATTCCTTTACCTGTGCCTGTGCAAAGCCTCCCCCCCCCCATTTTTTTTTAAACTCAGCATTTTGCCTGAGACTACATTCAAAAAAATGTTGTTTAAAGGAGTTAGGTTATAACATTGGTTGAGGCCATTGGCCTGTAATAGTCTGAAATTGTTTTGAATGCTCCCACTGAGAAGCCTAAGCTATGAGTATACATTTTTATAAATATCACTAGCTTTCTAGTAAAAGCCCCAGAGGTTACTCAGAAGATACTGGGCCTTAAATCTATCACGGCTTCCTCCTTCCACAAGTGTTGAAGGGGGGTGGGGGGAGGAAGAGGTGTTGGCAAGCTCTTGTCCATATCTTCCACACTTCATGCCAGCCTCATTAAGTGAAACATAATTCCTAATTACATACATCATTATCGGAAGATGTGTGCAGTATCAAATAGTAGAACAATAAATTAATTACAGTAAATTCTCAATAACTTACCATAGAATGGTGCTACTGTATATTTAAGTACAGAGTCAATAGGGAATGGATTAATCAGCAGGATTTCTGTACTATACACCAAAATGATCAGACAAGCAACGTAGAAATTGATTGTATTTTCCATATTTTATTTTCTTTCCCCCCTCCATTTACTGTAGCACAATAAGTTAAATAAAAATATCAACCCAAATTCTGTACTGTCACATGGACCATTGCAAAATGGGAGTAACTCCAATGAAGTAAAAGGAATTATTCCAGATTTACACCACTGAGACTAACAGCAGAACTTGGGTCGTAGAGAATACCACTAAAAGTTTGATATTTTCAGTTACTCAAACATTAAGGAGCAAGATGTTCCATAATTCTGAGGTTTTGCAGCTCTAAGAATGTTAGTTTTGGTTTGCACCACATTGCAGCCAAAAGGGGACCGGAGGAAGGGAGTTAGGGGGTGAAGGTGTGGTTTTACTCCAACTTAGAATACAAGTTGTCTTTTATGAAAGACATTAGAGGAACGTTAGCTTGAAATGTGCAAATAGTTACAAAGTAATACAGCAATTGAGGGAGGTGTTGAGAAAAATGAGGCTAATGAAAAAGCAAAGAACATGTTTGTCTTTTATTAAGATGGCAGGGGTGAAAAAGTGCTGTGTTTTGTTTTTAAGATAGGAAGGAAAAATGGATTCAATAACTGAATGGGAAGTGTGCTTATCCCGTATAATTAACAAAACACTACTGCTTAAATTTGATTTCTGAATCCATGTTTTAGCTTTCCAAATTTCCATTGATTTTAAAAATTCCCATTTTCTGCCCTCTCTTCCTCAGCAGTAGTCCACTGCACTTTTTTCTAATATTGAAAATGATTTTTTGGCCAAAGATTGAGGCCATGATTGTGGAAAAACCAGATATGAATCTTTCATACTTAGGAAACTACTATTAGTCAGTCAATCCACACTAAAAATCCTTAGGGAAAACTTTTTACATGCAAAGTCATTCATTTTCCCAAATGAAGTAACGCATTTTTAGATTTCGTTATCAAAATAAATTTTCAGTGCATAATATATTGGCAAAAAAGATACAACAAATACCCATGTTCTTTTGAATTATACCAGCAGAAATGACATTTTAAGAAGCAATCTTAATAGGTTTCACTTTTATTACATTAATTGAAAGCCTTTGCCTATTATAGCAGAACTGTGATGACCACTCATAAATACCACAAAGATTGCACTGTTTTTTTCCCAGGATAAAGAACTATATCTAACCTGCCCTGCCCAGCTCTGCTCACAAAGAGGGAAACCCTTCTATGCTACACACGCTCCTGAAAGTTTACTAAATGTAAAACATGTTTATGTTTAGAGCAGGTGAGGACTAATTCCTCACTTGATAAGAGGCTGATCCTGCACTCATTGAATTCAGTGGGAGTTTAGCCATTGGATTAAATGGAGCAGGATCTAGCCCAGAAGCAGTATTTGCTGCACTGAACAGGGGCATCACTGGAATGGATATAACTCTGCTCCTCTCAATAGTACTGCAGTCCCAGGCAAACATATCACGACCATAATGCTAGGCACTGAAAGCTGGGATCACATTCCTAACCACAAATATAATTACTTCCTATCTTAAAAACAGCTCTTTCTAAAATTTTGTAATGAGAAACAAAATAAATTCATTTTAAGCCAAGAGCTTGTTTGTCAAGTTTCGGCCTACTGCAGACTTTTACAGACCCTGGCAATTGCGTGTAATACTGAAAACTATTACAACTTTAAAGGAATACTGCAATTTAACAGAAAAATGCAATTTACCTGAAAATATGGTCACTTCATCTAGTTATATTTGGTATAATATAACATCTAATTTTTTAAAACTTTCTTTACAACAAACACTACTAATTTTTAAAAAGAAACAGAGCTACCATATTGCCCATCTGATAACAGATTGTGACACTCTGGAAGTTCTACTCTGATTATGACTGCAGAAGAAATGTTGGAGGACTGTGACTATTTTGAGGTCCATTATTTTATTAAGAATTATATAACTTTATTGAAATATGATCAACACTTACATTTTGCATTTTTTTTTCTGGTAAAGAGAACTTACTTTAAAACAACTATAAAAATACAAAGATTCTCATGCACTTATCTGGCAAGTGATCCAGAACACCCTTAACTTCCACAGAGTCTAATGTGAGTTGAGGGTGCTCGGCTGGCCACCAGAGCAAGTGCTTATTGATGAATTCTTTCCTAGTAGAAGTAGCAGTGAAATGGCAGCTCTCATTATGGAGATGCTAACAATGGCAGGACATTTTTAAACATCTGTTTTGAAATTTCACTTTGTAATACACATTATAGATTAATAAATATTCATCCTCTAATTCTCAATTCTCAAGGGAATAGAAATTATCTATTGCAATTTTCTGTAAACTGCAGTAACTCAGTGAAACACATAGTCAAAAAATACTCTGATAAAATAGCTCCATTCTCAGAGCTTGATTGGATTGACCACTTCCTGTATAAACAGTTTGAATTATCCTGTTCCATTTCACACCATTACTCAAAGGGAGAGTATACCACAGAAAACAAATACATGCTATATACACAGTATAACAGAAATATGTATAACAAAAAAAAGTGCCAAGGCGTTCACTGAAATTTAAACACTAGTTAAATTAAGTACCATACATTTTACAGTACGTTCCATTTATCCAGACAGTTTAAGGCTAAAATAGTTACAACCTCCACTGTAGTCAAGTTTTCCTATATTTATGAACACATACAAGTGTTAAATAGGTATAGATGTGTGATACTATTTATTGCTCTAAATGTTCTACTAGAATGCTAGATGCCCCAACTGTTGTATCAACCTGCCTTTTTCAGTCAAGTTAAAGTCCTACATCTGCAACCTATGTCACTTGTATGGTTTTCCAAACTTGTCGTTTGAGCTGCAAATAATTTTGATGACATAATGGAAAATGTGAGAGTAGAGAAAAACAAACAAGTTAACAATAGTGTCCTTGTAAAACGAAACCAATGGTCCAAAGTTGCCCACCTCTCGGAATTGTATAATGTGCTATAGTATTTAGTTAACTAAAACATGCATAACCATCCACCACAAAGACATTTCTGTATTTCTTCAGGGAGGATTGTTTTCTTTTGAAAAGAACAGCTTTGAGTGAGTGGTAAATGTGACAACCAGCAAGTAATGATTGACTAGTACCAGTCTAAACAGACTGGGCTTTAAAAAAAAGAAGAAGAAGCTGAATATGTGCTCCAAAACAAAGAGCAAACTTTTCTTCTTGCTCACAGAGCAATTATTTCTCCTATTTATTGAGAGTGATGCCTCATTCTGCCAGTGCCAAGTTCTTTGATTGTAGCTTATCCATTTCTTGACCAATACTTCCTTCAACTGTGTCACACTGGGCAAGAAAACCCTGAAAATAAAAATCACAAACAAAAGTTAAATGTGAGTATTACTGTGGAGTGATAAACTATTTCCCCAAGAATACAATTTTTTTTTAAAATGACAATGCTCCCACCATGAAGTTGGAGGTAAAGACAACTCCACAGTTTCTTCTGGGTTCAGAAATGGCCACCACTTTTGTTAGAGCTTATCAAGTAAGTGAACAGAAAATTCCCTTCATCCATTACCCAGTAGAAATCTAATACATCAGCTCAATGAGGACAGCAGAGTGCCACCAGACCAATAGTATTTAGCATCGCCAATCAGCAAGGGGTGGGGGTGGGGAAATAGGCTTGACTTATTAACCATAAATCCCCTTTCTTGTTTTCTCATGTACAGCTTAACATATCTCAGTACTTGGCACCAATACTGCAAAGAATTCCTGTCCACTGAAAGCTGTATCAAACCAAACTAAGCAACCTTCATTAAACCTACAAATCTTACATCTCCCAAATGCTCTAGGGCACTGGTTTTCAAACTGGGGAGTGGGGGATGGGACTTCGGCCAGTTAGGTGTCTGGGCCAGGGCAGGGCAGCAATGGAGACAGCATGCAGGGAGTATCCAACGGTGGTGGTAGGGAGTACAGGCATGCCCTGGCAGCAACCTACTGCTTTCCCCCCTGCTGCCCTACCCTGGCTCAGACAGCCTGTGGCAGCGAGATGCTCTGGGCAAGGGGGTGGAATACAAGCACTGGTCTGCTTTGCCCTGCCTTGGGCTCCCCAGGGGATAGAGCCTGCCAGATCCCACTGCTGCCATAGGCATGAGGCCGCCCATTCCCTCCATTGACTCACTTTCTGCCCCGATGGGCAGGAGTTGGCAGGGGGAGGAGGCCATGTTTATGTGGCTTCTTTGGAGAATGGGGGGCACAACAGCAACACGAAAAAAGCACTTCACGAACCTCTGCTCTGGGGCAAAATGAACCCCACGCCTCCAGCTGGGCAGCCATGTGCAGAAAGGGGATGAAGGGATTCCTTCCCAACTCAAAGTAGTAGTTTATCATCACCCTAAAAATTCCAGTAAGGGATACCCCAACCAGTGTATGATTCTCACCCATGACTGTAAGATCTCACATCTCAAATACCAACTGCATAGGATGTCTACTGATTGTCCATCAGAGAGCAGGTAAGAGCTGATGGATGGTCCCTGTCACAGTTCACGACTAGAATCCCATGATTCTCTGCTCTTAGACTGGGTCTCTGGCTCCAGCCCCCTGTGTACCAACCATGACTGCTCAGCAGGCCCAGCTGGGCTTTACACCTGCAAGTCTTCCTTCAGGAGCTGTAGCCAGTGGTTTGTACAATGACAAAGTATTGTTTAAGCTGAACAGCAGGGACACAGCAAAACAAGAGAAAAAAGACTGTAAAACAATCACTTCCTTTGTTTGCAGTGCTGTTGTAGCCTTCCTGGTCCCAGGATACTAGAGAGACAAGGTTGAGTCCTGAAGAAGAGCTGTGTAGCTCGAAAGCTTGTCTCACCAACAGAAATTGGTCCGATAAAAGATATTACCTTGCCCACCTTGTCTCTCTAAAACACTGAAGCAGTCTATACGCAAGTCTAGCCCTGGAAGGCCCAACTGCATCAGACTCCCTACGCAGGGCACGTCTATGGTCCAATCTACACTTAAAACTAAAATCAACCTTGCCTAGAAAAATTTTATGCACTGAGCAATGCAGTTAGGCCAACCTATCCCCCAGTGTAGACATAGCTAGTTCAAGGGACGGATTCTTCTATCAACCTTGCTACTGCTTCTCAGAGAGATGGATTCCTTGCATGGATGGAAAAAACCCCTTCCATGGATGTAAGATATTACAGCAGCTCAGCTGCAGCTGTACTGCTTCAGTGCAGATGTACCCCATGTGACCTGCTCCTAGCAAACAGACCCTGTCAACAACTCCCTCCCAGCCACAAATGTCACGTTCCCCCACCAGAAACCCTGTGTCTTAGGTTCCACTGTGTTTACAACTTGTGATTCCCCTTCACTTTTCTTGACAAACTGGTCCATTGAGCTGCAGGGGACAGGGGTGTCAGTCAGAGGTGGGCAGTCCAAGCAAATGGGTCTAATGTTGTGCTTCAAATGGATAAGTGGGTGGCTATTTGAAGCTATTGTTCTCTTTCCTGCGTACATACACCTCTACCCCGATATAATGCGACCTGATATAACACGAATTCGGATATAACGCGGTAAAGCAGCGCTTCGGTGGGGGCGCACTCTGGCGAATCAAAGCAAGTTGGATCTAACGCAGTTTCACCTATAACACGGTAAGATTTTTTTGGCTCCCGGGGACAGCGTTATATCAGGGTAGAGGTGTACAACCAACACCTGCTTCAATTAAGCCCTTGTAATCAAATAGCAAACCACATTACAGCAGCAAAACACGTAACTTTCATGAATTACATAGCAGCTGCACATCCCTCATGGTCCCCAAAGGCAGTCTTATATCCCCCACTATAGGGGAAGGGAGTTAACAGAGGGAGACTGGCAGCCTTAAAACTCACCTGTTCTAAAGAAATAGACTGCTATTACACCACAGAGAACCACTGTCCTGGTGGAAGATATAATCCTCCTCCTAGGACCCTCTTTGAGGCAGAGTTTCATATTTACCATTATTGTAATATAGCTATTTAAATACTGTAACGTAGCTGAATGCACACAATATAGCATGTATCACAGCATGTTAATTTTATGTATTTAAAACTTTAACAGGGTAAATCAGCACTTGGGTGCCTCACATCAATAAAGCTAGTTGCTAACAAATGCATTCTTCTATAAACTTTACAGAACTCCCTGTTATTAAATTAATGGACCACACAGGGTAACAGGCCAAATCAAACAGCTGCTGTCCATTTTATACCTCAAACTGAAACTCTTACACCACTGGGAGGATCAGGTGCCAGAGAGGTTTGTGGGCACCACTGAGAACACTACTATTTTAGTGGATGTGGAACATGGAAACTTGTCTACCTTGTAGATAAAATTGGTAGTTCCCTTAGTTTCACTATAGTTGTATCAGGCTTAATTGACTAATTTTAGCAATTAAAGTGGATACTTACTTTTTTAATGTTATATTATTTATATTACAGTAGCAATCAGAGACTCCAATAAAATTGGGAACCAATTGTGCTAGGCCTGTATAAGCACATGGATAGTCCTGATCTCTGCTCGAGAGCCTACAACCTTAGGTCCTGATCCTGCAACTCGAAGCACATGTGATATCCCTGTGCCTGCACAAAGCCCCACTGCCTTCAGTGAGGCTCTGCATGAGCAATGGGGTATGTTTGCATGGAACAGCTTTCAGGATTGAGGCCTAAGTAAGAGCTTCCTCTGTAAGACATAAAACTCTTTTCTTAATTTATCACATTTTATTAAGAGTGACCTGCCAGAAGTTTTTAATGCCATATACATAATGCATGCTGATTCATTAACAGAAGCTTTTAGTATTCCCACTTGCTGAATTGTAACTGCTCTAATTCCAGCGTTACCAGAGAAGCAGGTTGCTGGCTCAGATATGGCCCACAGAAGGCATGGTCTACTGCCCTTGCAGGTGGAGACCCTATATCAGCACTAGTAGGACTACAGAATATTTATTTATTTAGACAGAATTAAGTTTCCCTATCAGTCTGTTTCATCCATCTGTCGTGTGCTAAGTTTTTACATTCTTTAGGGCCAGGACTGTCTTTTTAAGTCATGTCTGTACAATACCTACCAGAATTGGACTCCAATCTGCGATTGGTGCTACTGCAATACAATTAAAAACTGCAGCAGCATCACCACCTACCTACGGGTGCCATTCTCTCTTTTTCTGGAGGGGTTAAGATTCTAGTATGAAGTAAGAGAACTCCACTATGTTTTCATATTGAAATAATAGTCATCTGGGAATAATGGTCTAAGCAACACACAATAGGAACAAAAAAAAGTATTTTATCCAGCATATTTCTTCTCTAACACAGATTTCACTCTTGAGATAAAGGTGCTTAGTTTATAGCAAAGTAAATATTATATAAAAGAAAAAAAACACAAATATCCTAACTCTATCTCATACAAATTGATGGGGAACTCTGCCTCCTACCCTTTTTCACCTGTCTACCAAGGTGCTATTTTTATGGCATACATGTCTGTCTGCAATTTCATTACTCCACCCCATACAGATGCAGGAGAGTTAAAGTGAGAAGTGTTTTTCCTTGCTGGTAATCAAACAGATTCCACATCATCATACAGCCATGGGCACTAACCACTAGTGTAATTTGTAAATATTTGACAACAACATAAACTATGTAACTCCATCCCTTTTTGTGTCAGTTTATAAAATGTTGGTGTGTTACTGCTCTTAGAGAGGCTTGATAACCCATCCCTCCAAGAGATCAGCCAAAGCCTAAAAATCCAAGGGATCTCCTGCGATGTAACCCTGGGCCTTTTATTTTAGCAGATCAACTGCTGCTGTGCAAGTGCTCAACATTTATTTAATGCAAGACTCACCTGAACTTTTTTCACCAACCCCTTCTTTTTCAGTTTGCAATCACTGAAATTCTCTGGTAGATTCTGCAGTAAATAAATGAACAATTTGATATTGGTTCATCTTGAAATCAATGTACAAAACATAAGGAAAAAGCTGTACATAATAGATAAAGTATTCGGTTACACAGTGGAATCCTTTTAACAGGCATGCACGTCTACTTAAACTGGGATTCAAAGGAATCCATTTCCAAAAGTCTAAATAACGAAGGTTCAGTGGCACAGTTAGTCCATTTAAAGCTACATGCCTGGTCTTCTCTGAAGCTTATTTACAGGAATTAATGAATGTAAATTGGTGTTTTCTGGCGTAAGTTTCCTGTTGGGCATCCCTTTGTTCATTTATATTGCTTCAGCTTCCCTGCTCATGACATTTGCTACATTAGTTGAGTTTGTGTGTTTGTTTTAACAAGTTTTAAATGCTTTGTACTTTTGAGGTGGGCCATTAAACAGGGCTTTTATTGACAATAATGTGGTACAGTTTTGGACAAAGTTAAGTAACAGGAAAAACTGATACAGCTGTAGGTAAATAACAATCACATATATAGTTATAAGAAGATAGGACCTGAGTCTGAGATGTGCTAAGCAACCAGGCCTCCCCTTTGGACCTGCAGGTGCTTAGGCTTTCTAGATAGTAGGCCACAAGAAGAGGGGAGGAACAATCCTTTCTTTTATCCCTAGTCTAATGGGCAATCTCTTAAACTGTGTTTTCATTTACTATAGGAGTTGAAAAATATACCAGAGACCTACAAGCCAGAGGCCATTATAAAAAAGTTGGGTTGGGGCACCAGTGAAGTCTAGGGTTAACTCTTGGGTCAGGGACTGTGCCTTCTTTTGTCTTAGTGCAGTGCTTAGCACGCTATGAATGTTACTAGAAACAACACCACCCAGACTCCACACATATATCTCTGCAGGGAGAGAGGAGGGCTGTGCTCCTGGGATCCGTTCTAAGGTTCCTTCCTTAGCATCAGCCTCTTGCTCAATACATGTCTGAAATTTGAAATCCCCTTCACTCCCACTCACTGTGGCTGATGGAGGGGTAAGTTCTCTTTCCCACATATCACCCTAAGACAGTGGTCCCCAACATGGTGCCCACGGGCGCCATGGCGCCCGCCGAGGCATCTATGTGCGCCCGCATACTGGCCGGCAGACAAGCATCCGCCGAAATGCCGCCGAGAAGCGGCAATGTCAAGAGGTGCCGACGCCGAAATGCCGCTGATTTTCGGCGGCGACGCCTCTTGACG